ATAAGTGGGCATTTTGATCATCAGTCAATGTCATGCTCCAGGTTATGGTACTCACTGACAACAGTTTTCAGAAAGTCAAAGACCCCCTTGATTCATGAGTCTTTCTTTTGTGTGTTGTATTTGTTTGGGATCTTTGTTCCAGCTTAACTCAACTGAATGATAGCTAAGGCCTGGAACAGCAAGAAGGGAAATTAATTTGTGCATGAAGTCTGTGATATGAGGAAGTGATGACATGGTACCATGGAAACATCACACCAGATCTTGTCAGCGGTGTAATCCCTTAAGCACTCATAATATTTGTGACCACTGTGTGTGTTTTTATATTTTAAATCACTAATAGAATGTCTCATATTTCAGTGTGTGTTTTTTAATTCAGTAATTTCCATGTACTTTTTTTAACCTCTTTGTGGGGTGCTTCAAGTAGGAGGTAGGACAGTTTTCTTCTGTATGATACCACTGTAGTACAGTGTAGTCTCAAAAACTGTAACATGCCTTAGGCTAGGACATAGATGTGGATATTTGTCTTCAAACAGTTACCCTACTTGCCTAAATGAAGCATTTCAATGTTTTTATACAATAATCTGTAATTACTGTAACTACTGAAACTGTGGCACCTTGATCTGAATTTTTTGAAGCATTACATGACCTCTACGGTTATGGTTGTATAAAGCATAAAACTAACCGCATTCACCTAAATGCCTTCCACTGACATCAGGGTGTGTGCTATTAGGTTAACACAGTAGCTACATCAGCCTCAGGGACTAGGCCCTTACCACATCATGCAATCCATTTCAATTTTGTCCTGTGTTTTTGTTGTTCATATATAAATCAATAAACTTTGTCTTGAAATAATTATGCTGGTTTTACTGAATAAGGGGCCGTTCACTCAGAACTTGTTTTTGCATTCATTGCACTATCTTTTTATTATTTTTCTATGAAAACGTGCTTGACAGATGCGTTGAGCTTCTGTCTTTTGCAGCTTTCTAAAATCACGACGTTCAATTTAACAGTTCTACTTTTAAAAAGCTTAAAAAAAAGATGTGTATTTCTTGGCGCTGATAGCCTTGAGGTCAGCACGCTGACAAACATTGCCATTGCGCTGTGGGTGTCCTGAGTTCGATCTGGTGGGCCTTTCCTGCTCCCACTTCACTTCCTGTAATTACACTGTCCTATCTAAGGCAAAATGCCAAAAATAAATATTTTTTAAAAAGTATATTTATTTTCCTTTGCGTCTCATGTGTTTAAATGCAAAAACATAACCATCGTTCATGCAAAACAGCACTACAAAATGGAAAAGAATGCAATGCCTGGAAAACCTGCATGCAATTAGGTGCAAACTTCGTCACTCTTGAGCACATTTACAAAAACGTTTCATTTAAATCAGCCCATATGTTTAAACAAGTTCAACATGTTTTGAGGCCCTGTGTTCATTTTTACGTTTTTTTTAGAGCTGCTGTCTTAAATCCAAAAACACTTTTGTGCCATCATTCATTAAACAGTAGGCAAGTGCTTTGACAGATGATACATTGATTTCACAGTGCCAAAGTTGGCAAATATTCAGTTTAATACAATTCACTGAGGCACTAACCATGTCATCGCTGGATTACATCAAATGGAAATAAAGGCACCATATATTTACTTTAAAAAAAGATTTTAAGCCATAGAAAACAGTAAGGTAATAGTGCTTGACCGGTCTCTTTAGTGTGCTAGCAATTCTCATCTCTGATCTGTAGTACGTTTATGTATTGTGTGAATGTAAAATGATTTAAAAGAAGAAATTTCTCCTGACTGTTCCATTAATACTTATTAGGAAATGATTAGGCGTAACAGGCAGACTACACACAGTCAAAACTGATAGGGTGATAAATGAAGTTTTTTACAATATTTTTGGTTTTACAGGCTACAGAGGTCAACTGACAAGCTCTCAAGTGACAGGGTCCATTCAGAGGACAGAGGCCTGATCTATAAAGGTTGCAAGTGTTATGTCACGCTGTGAGAGTCCTCCACATTCATGAGTACTGAGGGTGATCTGAACCTACCAGAGAGAAAACAAGCAGATGCTCAATATAATTAAATTAATACACATTCCTAGTCTTATTGGTCAATTAACCAGTGCATGTTTTTCAAAATGTAATGTGTTTCTTCTCTGAAACTTTTTGTCTCTTTTGTATTTGTAAAAAAAAAAAAAAAAACCTTTTCTAAATGATACAATGTACTGTTATTTAATAATTATTTTCTGAATTATATTTTTAGAAGAATACTAGATATCAATCATTTATAATTAACATTATATTTTCAAAATAAACACACTACTGCAATCACAGCCATGACCCTCAATGTATTAAAAAATGGTACACTGATGAACGTATTATGTATTTACCTTATTATACACGTTAAACCATTCAGGGTGATGATCCATTTTCTCAGCCTGTAGTGCTACTCTGGACATGAACCCAAAAGCCTAAAGGGGAAAGAGCATGTCCAAGCATTGTGCATACAGTACATAAAAGTATGATGCAAGCTGCATGTATATGAATTGTGAAGTATATAACTAGATGAAGTAGATAGCTTGGAAGAGGTTATTACCTGGTTGAAGTCTTTGAAGAGGAACTCTTTGTAAATGGCATCTCTCCCCACCACCTCCACCCACTGAGCGTTCCTCATCATGGGCAGGATGTGCTCCCTCTCCTCCATAGTAAGAGTCTGGATCTTCCCAGCCTGAGTGTTTAAAACAGTTCTCATTAGAAAATATCCTTTAATTTCATGTATGTGGGTTTTGTGTGCTTTGTAAAAAAAAAATTTTTCAAATCATGCCATCTCTGGGAGTAAAATTTAGTATGTGTGTATATACAGTAAAAAAAATACAGTAAAAACTACTCATGTGAAAAGTTTTGTTTACAATTTGTGTTCATTTATATGATTTAATATATGACTTATTAAAATAACAATCATTTTAATAATAATTTCACTTGACTTTAATAATTTGTGTGTGCATGAATATAAATGATTTAAATATGATTTAAATAAGTATTATAATAATTATATTGAAAATACTTAATTGTTAATAGAACACAACATTTAAACAGTTTTCTAAACACTTATACTCTTTAAGCCACCATTCCAAGGGGGATGTTTCAGAAAAAAGCGCTGTGATTGGTTGTTGTGAACCCCATATGGAAACAATGATGACTTGCATTTTCAATTTTAAGAGCTTCCACCATATTCCTGTGGTGGCTGGAGTAATGAAATTCCTCAGCTACTTAACTCTTCCCTCTTGCCCTTTCAGTAAAGATTACATGGGCTTCAAACACATGTCTGTTACAAGAAGACGTTAACATTTATTAAAAGGTAACTGACCTGAAAATATAGAATTTCTATATAAGCTAGTGCTAAACTTTGTTAGAAATTTTGTGCACTTTTAATTGAATGAAAGGAAAATTGAGCTGATTTGTGTCAGCATTTCCCTTTGTACTATCCACACACACACACACACACACACACATACACACACACACTATTGTCCCTGACTAAACCATCAGTACATTGCGACAGAGCGCCTGTGCAAACACATGTCAGTCATAATGAAGCTCCAACACTGATAAAGCTGGCTAATGTCAACAGGTCTCTTAGCAACAGTCTAATCTGATGAACTAATGCTGCTGCACGAACAGACACGGATCGAGAAGAAAGCGAAGTAAAACCACGAAAGCTTGTTGATTGTTCTATTAAATGATTAACAGTGATGACAACATGCGCACTATAAAATGTGCTTTTAAAATCTACCAGTAGTGTTATAAAGCAAAACCTTGAATCGGCAAAAAAAAAATCCTTTACTCGATTATGTCTAAAAAACAGTTAATGGAAATCGTGTAATAGGACAACAAAACGTCAGAAATGAATGTAAACATTAAAATAACACCAGCCATTTCCAATATATTTAAAGCATTTTGTTTGTGCCAGTGTAATGCATTTATTTGCAACTTTGAGAGATATGCACAAAGTGGTTGTTAGTCCACGTGCGATAACTATAATAAAATTGAAAAGGTTTTTATATGTTTTTCTTACCATGTTGTGGGTGCTGTGCGTGTAGCGCTGATATGGTCTCGTGCAAGCAACTGGATTTCAATCTGTTTCCACAGCGCAAATAACCAATCCTACTACGGTGAAGGGACGTCTTATGAATATTAACTACGTTGCGTGATTGGACGCTCTTGAAAAGTCACCAGGGAACGTCAGTACGCACTACTGAATATTAATATATGGGCCCTCTTGCTGCTGCGGCTGCCCTGCCAAAAGCCTGAACGAAGTAGGAATGTGTTTGAGAATCACTCTGAGATTGAGAGAGAGAGAGACTAGGAGATGAAAGGACTGATAAAAACAGATAAAAAACAATGACTTATAATAGCAAGCGTCTGTTCAGGAAACAAATGCATGCCATTTAATGATAATACCTGACTGAATGCGGCAAAACGGGAAATTATCCCACTTGAATGAAAAGATTCATCCAGGGTCACACACAAACACAGGTCACTCACCTAACATGACAGAGAGTACAAACATGAGAAGTCCTCATCTTCCCTTTTATCTCTTTGCTTTTTCTCCTAAGATAAGATAAGATTAATTTGATCAAGATAATTTCTGTTATTCCCTTTTCTACATTTATACACTAAACATAACATGTTTCGGATACAGATAATTGTGATTTGTGCCTTTTATGAATATGAAGTATCATCCTCATACTTATATGCTGTTTTTTAAGCTGTGTTCTTTATTCTTTTTACCTAGCAGCACGTGCTACCCCCTAGTCAATTATCCTTCCTATCTTCGTTGGTCAATCTTTTGTTGTTTTCTGGTAATAAAATTGTCCAACACATCTCAAAGATCACATGTAATCACATGTACAGTACAGTGATCTTTGAGCGCTCTTTATTTTCATATGCTCAAAAAGAAGAAAAAGAAAAACAGCAGATTTGGGATTAACAATGAAGACAATCGATATCATGCAAGTTTTCTCTTTTTTCACTCTTCTCTCAGCAGGTCTGTGTGAGAGACATCATAAAGGTAAGTCATGGGTATGATACTCAAGTTTTTAAAATAAGTAAAAATGAGCATATTCACTGTATTCATAGCATACTGCAATCTCTGTCCTTTTTTAGTTTACAAGCTGAAAATGGACAAGGCATTGCTAATATTCCATAGCGAACTTCCGTACATCGTTAGTGTTTACTACACCTCAGATTATTGTTATAAGGTATTTAAACATTTTTTTG